AGATAGATAGATAGATAGATAGATAGATAGATAGATAGATAGATAGATAGATAGATAGATAGATAGATAGATAGATAGATAGATAGATAGATAGATAGATAGATAGATAGATAGATAGATGGGGGGAGAGAAAACGACTGCATCGTGTTAAATCTAGTTATTGACCTAAGGGAGCATAGTGACATCTACATTGTCTTGGGCATGTTGTGAGAATGGCTGACAGCCAGATTCCAAAAGATATCCTGTATTAGTGCATAGAAAGTGCCCCAGAGGGAGACCACAGCTGTGATAAAAGGAGATCTGCAAGTGGGATCTGAAGGCCTTAGGGATGGACCTCAACAGATGGGAAACCTTGACATCTGAGCGTTCAGCCTGGAGGCAGGCGGTGCATTATGGCCTCTCCCATTTTGAAGAGACCCTTGTCCAGCAGGCCGAGGCAAAGAGGAAGTCACAAAAGCAGCAACATCAGGGAGCTGGAGAGGGGACAGATTGGATTTGTTTCAGTGTGGAAGGGATTGTCACTCTCAAATTCGCCTTCTCAGCCACACTAGATGCTGTTCCAAGTTCTCTATTCAGAGCACGTTACCATAGTCTCTCGAGACTGAAGGATGCCTAATCTAACTTCCATCAAACCAGAAGCCACCCAGAATGTTTTTTAAATATCATCCTGACTTTCAGAAGACATACACCTTTTCCTAGCCAATCTGGGGGGAAAAGTCTTCCCTTAAAAGATTTAACAATGGAGGAACAGGGAGATGCAGAAGTTTGTCCCTACTTCCTTCACTCACCAGTGCTCCAGTAAGCAGGGATGTTGGCAAGTCTTTGGGTCTGAGTCCCAAGTCCAAGTCACAGTTTTTGGTACCAAGTCCTGAGCCCCAAGCCCCAAATCTGAGTCCCTATTAAAAACAAGATTTCTCTCCCCCCCAGGAAAAAGGGAGGGGGTTCCAAGTCACAAGTCAAGTCCAAATCACTGAGGGGAAAAGATCTTAATTGAGTCCAAGTTGAGTCAATGGTACAACTTAAATCCGACTTGACAGCAAGTCCCACAACTCAAGTCCTTATCCCTGCCAGTAAGTTCCACAGGATATGCAGTTTTTCCAATGAGCCACTACCACTGTAGTAAGTATTGAGAGACCTGTATCTTCTACAGTCTATCACAGAGATTTTAAACAGTTTGCTCATTTTAACATCAATGTTAAATTCATTGCCCAGAATCCAATGAATATGGATTCTGGGCACTGAGAATTATGCATATATGTGAAATTGCATAAGGCATAGAAGTGAATAGCTGTTAGTTAATGGCTGCTGGTTCTATTTCTCATGATGGGCACACAATCAGGAATGGAACTGATGATACCCAGTTCTACATCTCCTTTTTTTCCAACAACAGTGGATTCTGTCTCATCCCTTGAGTGCTGCCTCGGGGCTGTTCAGCAATGGATGAAGGAGAACGGACTGAAGCTGAATCTGGGCAAGACGAAGGTCCTTTGGGTGGGTGCCCCAGACTTCAGTGGTCTGGGAAACTCCCTCTCTTTTGGGGGGGTGGTGGCTCTTACCACCAAGAGTAAGGTTCACATCTTGGTTGTACATCTGGAGATCCAGGTGTTGTCAGTGGTCCATTCCACACACTTCCACCTTCAGCAGATAGCCCAGCTGTGTCCCTATCTTGATGTGGGGGTGCTCACCACTTTGGTCTATGTGCTCGTCTCAAGATTAGACTACTGTAATGCGCTCTATGTGGGGCTGCCTTTGAGATTGATGCAGAAACTTCAGATGGTACAAATGCCACGGCCAGACTTCTAACTAGGGTGAAGAGGCACCAACATATTCCCCCCATGCTGGCTGCCTTGCATTAGCCACCCATTCATTTTCGTGTTGATTTCAAAGTTCTTATGATTATTTATAAAGCCCTAAATGGTTTAGGACCTCAATATCTGGCAGAGCACCTTCTCCCACCCAGTTCTGCCAGAGACACTTGTTCCAGCCAGGCCGGGCGACTGAGGGGCCTAATGCTGCAGGAAGCCCAGAAGAAAAGAACGAGGAACTGGGCCATCTCAGCAGTGGCCCCTCGCCTCTGGAACAACTTGCCCGTAGAGATCCGCCTGGCTCCCTCTGTGTGTGTCTTTAGAAATAAAGTTAAGACATGGTTATTCAGGCAGGCTTTCCCTCCTGCTGCATCTTAATATTTACATTTTTACATCTTGGATTTTTACATATGTATTGGTTATATTGTTTTTAAATTTTGTAATACCGCCCAGAGTAGACCCAGTCTAGATGGGCGGGGTATAGATCTAATAAAATAAATAAAACTAACATCTCATTAATTAGCAATGTTTGCCATTACAAGGTACACAATTTCACCTGTGCACATGTAAATCACCAATATGATTCTCATGGATACATTTTTTATTAAACATGTAAAACATAGCGTCTCAACAGTACTATTCATTGCTATACTTCTGAGGAAAGTCACTTCCCCTTGTTTGTAGGGGAAAGTACCCACACATCTCCAATGAAGGGCTGGTTTCTAGGACATAATTCCTATATCTGGACCCCAAGGGTTTTCGACTACAATTCCAGAGGCCCTAGCCAACTTCGGCAATGATCAGTCCTTCTTGAAGGTGCAGGCAAGGCTGGGAACCTGTTCCCTGTACAGAACAAGTAATTCTTTGGCTATTTTTACACAGATTTCTTTTGCTAGGGAAGCTACGTGGAAGCCAAATGCATAACGTTCAATTGTTTCTAGCTGGCAATCAGCAAGTCTTTACTGGGGTTCTTGCGAGCATATGACTGCTGATTTGACACATGCTCAAGAGTCCCAGTGACAACTTATTAACTGCAAATAGAAGACACTAAATGTTATACTGTTTGCCTTCCATAAGTGTAAAAGAGCATCAGGATTTCAGCCAAAGTGTAATAAGCATTTGAAGGACAAAAATCAATTCCCCCTCTTGCACGGAGTTCAAGTCACACTGACCAATTTTATATTCTAGCCAGCAGGACAATCAGACAACTGGAAACCACTGTTGTATGCTCTCCGGGGAAAGTTAGTTTGAAAAATGCTTCTAGAAATTAGACTTTACGCAAATTCAAACTATAGAAGGAAAACGACTGAAGAAGCTACTTGAATGAGTAGTGAAACATTTCAACATAACAAGGAAGAGGTCCAGTTGCCTTGACTCAATTTCCAGATATTGAGGGAAACATTTTGGAAAGTGGAAGATTATGCTTAGATGATTCCCATGGTCCCTCCCAGAAGGGAAGTTATCACCGTAATAGAGAATTGAATGTATTTCTACATCAAAATAAAAGATGGCATATTAAGAGTCTTAAGTGGATCGAACCCCTCTTTGAAGCCAAAATACAGACGATCTAATTTGCAATGCATGGAACACACAGGAAACCAACACAGAGTGAATGGGAAGTACTTGACAGCCAGTCACGTTCACACACCAAGAAAACTTTCCTGAAAAGGTATTACATTTTCTAAAAATTGGTATGATTTTCATAGCTTTAAAAATACCATACTCACAATTTATGAAGGTTTTTAAGGCCAATGAAGACTTCAGGTGTTAAACATCCAATTCTATTATTAGAAAGATCCCTAGAACAAAACAAAAGAGAGAAAAAGAGCAAGCATTAACTATGGAGGAAAATAAAAGATAAACTCATGGACAGATTGACTAGCATTTTACCTTAATAAAATGGAGGCAGCAAAATACCCCTCCCAGTCCATTTTCAAGACTTATGGATATCCACAGCTATTTGTATTCAACAAGGTCTCTCCCATGTTTATTTTCTGTTCCACCAACATTCTGTAGCTCTGTCCATACATTAATCAGCACAAGGAGGAAAACACAGAGTAGAATGGCAGGCTCTGACCCCACCATCTACAGGGTCTTCATGGTTTCCATATCAGAACAGAAGAGAATAGTTCTGATGATATGTAGACTCTGTAAGTTAGCAAGAACCCAGATTTTCCAAGACATTTGTTTTCATATAGTGCCTACATGTGAGCAGAAACTTATCCTCTTCAGTGTTAAAGAGCACAACAGCAGAAGAGGGGAAGAATAGGCTCTCCCCTCTAAGCATTTTCTCCTTGCTGGGGTTGTGCAACACCTGTATAGCGTTGGCTCTCTGGAAAGTCAGTCAGACTAAGCTCAAGGTAAAAATATGTGTTTCACACTTTGAGTCTGAACACATTGAACTGAAGATCTTCCAGGGTTAGGGATGAAAGTTGCTTGTTGAAAAGTACTTAACCCTTAGTTCAATACTAATTTAGGTGCTATTCAGAGACATATCCATGAATTATCTAATAAAGCAACTATAAGACGTGTGCATTGAAGAGGCCACTGAATAGGGAGAGTGGCAATAGGAACACTTGAAATTACAACTTATAAACAACAAATAACCAGGGCAGGCAGGAAGGCTGATACTGGAAACGGTACAGAAAAAAATGTTACACAGGGTAGTGATTGCAGCGTAGATGGAAAGTTTTCGAAATAGGACCACACTTTCATTCAGTGTCTTATTATTGTGACACCCGTTCCCCGGGTCGTGAGGTGATGTTAGGAGTGCCGTCTCGCCCTAGAGCCTCCGTGGGCACCCAGACCGCACCCAAGCCATTTCCACCCCGGATGCTGCACCAGGCAGTGGATACCGTTGATTTAGAACGGGGTATGAAGGGGTTAAGCATAGCTACCCAGACTCCTCTGGTCTGGGCGGGAAGGGGGGCGAAGGATCCTGAGGAGGGAGATGTGGGAGAAGTCAGTCAGCGACAAGCGGGGAAAGAAGGCGAATGGGAATGGGTCTCGATCCAAGACCCCTGGTCGGGCAAGTGGAAACAGGTGTGCATGACTAAGCAAGAAGCAGAGGAGAGAAGGAGGAATGAGGCTCGGGTCCGTCCCTCTTACTGGGGAGAGAGAGAGACCCGTG